AAATTTTTGCATTTTGTATTTTCAGTAGACATCAGTTTTAAAAGTAATAACGAATCTCGTTGCAGTTTATAATGTTGATTTGTACGGTGTGGGCCAATAGGGGCAATGTAACGACACATTTCACCAAAGTGATAACAGCCACCTATATTAATCATTTGTAGCAACATCAGATTTTAAAAAAGAAAGAAACGTAAGTGCTTGTCACCTTTCAATATTCAGTAAAACTATTGAACTAAATATTGAAAGGTGATAAGCACTTTAGTTTTTTTAGTTTATATAGGCGACGGTGTACTCTGCGTTTTTAATCATCTTTATGTATTGATTTTAATTACAACTTCTGTATATCGGGCAAATATTGTCAGTAACAATACTAATCACCGGTTACTAGTACAGCACTATGGGGGAACACTCAATGTGTATTCCAAGTCGTGTATGAGACAATCTGTACGAGTTCCGTTACATTTGTAACACAATATTCGATGCCATTAACAATTCCTGAAAATGGTTAGAAATGTATGAAAACTGCTGAAATACTTTCCGTACTAACCACATCAACGTAAGTAAACATTGGAGCCCGTTATATACTACTAGTAGGCAGATCATTATGTATTTGGCTCGGTATGTGGTCTTGGTACGCTCGAAAATGTCTCCCCTCTTTGTTGCATTGTGGTTTCCAGTGTCAATCAGATACAAGGGGTAACGTGTTTTTCAATTCTAATACAGTGATGCAATTTTAGCAAGCAATCAAAACATGCTTAGGATGAAAAATATTTTCTTTATTAGCCGCAATCAATGCTTAAAACAGGCGTTATTGCGTTGATTTGTATAGCATCATGAGTTTTAAGAAAGTACTTTGAGGCGCTTTACCGCCAATTAAATACACTTTTCATTATATACTGCATGATACTATATATAGTAGTTTCGATATTAAACAAAAGGATCTTCTTCTGGTGATACGGGCCCGTGACCATTACTGCTTGCAGTACGTTGTACTTTGAATGTAGTACAAAATAGTATGAAAATACTTTTGACGTGGTTAAGGTAATAGCAAAACAGCAGTCTGAACCTAACAGATTCGAGATGGATTATAACACTGCTATAGTTGTTGCCTTTCAGAGAACAGTATCGCAATGGCTGCATGCTGCCTTTCTGTAACACCTATTTCCATATATCGTGCTATGCAATTTTGGTAATAAGCAGGGCTTCAGGCTTTTGACATTATTGGTCTAGTTAATTGAAAGCTGGCGACAAGTAGACGGATGCTCCTTTTAAACATACATAAAAATTGGCGAATGTATCTTTGGTGTGATATTTTTATGCGAATGCGGGTGACCAGTCAACATGGTGTGTTCTGAACTCCCCCAAGAACGCTCGTTATGGGTTTTAGGCCAATGCCATTGAAACAGTCCAGGCGATAAGTAAATGGTATATCATTCACGCTGGTCTGACCGGTAATAATTTAAGGTGCGGCTAAAGCTCTTGGCGGCTGGATTATTGGGAGTTGAAATATAAACGCTAATTAAACCTATTGTCAACTACGAGGGCAATTCAATCAATTCTGTCACCACACAGGCTACGTACGAACGGCCAATGAAATAGATTTGCACCTTGGCAGATAGTCCGAATTATTCTGACGTTTTATCGACTTTTTTTATATCGGTCTGTCGTCGATTAACCGACGACAGACCGATATAAGAAAAAGTCGATAAAACGTCATAATAATTCGGATTACTTGGAAGACAGCAAAAGCATTTAAAGAACAATGAACATTCAAATTTTCGACATCGTCCGACACGAATTGAACACGTGATTCATTGTTGAATGGTATGCGTTCGTAACTAGTGGCTACTTTTCAATGCTCAAATGAAGATTGAGACTTAATCGGAAGTACGCTCCGATACCACCAAAACAGATATATGCAAAGTTGTGCAGTATAATATACACTTCTGTAGCCACACTGAGAACTGTTTCCAGGTAGGTGAACAAATACAAGACTTGGTAAAATCGACATCAAAGAGTACACGCGAACAGGTAGGCTATAGTTGTCAAAGAGCATTGCTGTTGCGAAAGCAATACCTAAGGATGATGGTTGTTATACTGTTTCTGAGAAAGCTCATACACATCACATTCTGACCAAGTGATTGAAATTAAGCTTTGCGCCCGATGGGTCCCCCAGCTACTGACATCTTAACAAAAGGCCAAACATTTGAAATGTGATAAAGATATATTGAAAAAGTATGGAAATTGCGACTCAAGAAAGCTACCTGATATGACACTTATATGGGATAATTGGATTAGTTTGGTTAATTATTGTTTTAAGGACGGCCTCCCCTGTGTGCAAGATGCATGCGTGTAGTGTATGCGTGTGTTTTGGGATGCTTCGATAATCATATGTTCGTGTTTGTCTCCTTGTGATAGCGCGGAACTGATGCCGACTTGATAGTGCTACCTCACTGAAACATACTGCCGAAGACACCCAGAAGGACACCCCACCCGGTCACATTATACTGACAACGGGCGAACCAGTCCTCACATGGGATAAGACTTGGGTCTAGTACTTTGAACCCCAGAAGCGACGTAATAACAAACCATGGGTGTAACTCAATGCCAGTAATTGCAAGACGTATAAAAAGCGCTAAGGAAGTTTTTTTTATATCCCATTTTTCAATTCTAGTGAGCCTGTGGTTCAGACACCGTGCAAGGAAAGAGAACCCTACCACAGCCAAATGTACAGAAACAAATCACTTGAGCCTGTCAAAACATTCTACATGAAAAAGCGTCCAAGTAAAGGGTTTGAATTGCATCTAATACACAAACGTATTTTAAACGAAAAAGCATAACAACAACATACTATGGCTGATTTTATTAAAAATATGTAAAACTTTACATACATGTATTAATATCAGTTTGTAATGATCATACAACAAGAAGTACCNCCCCCCTCCCCCCCCTCCTCGAAATTCCATTGGTTTGGCTCACTTCTGTTCTCGGTGCCCTTAGGATATGTCGGCTGTCATACCTTTCATGTCATACCTTTGTTAGATTAGTCCGATTGTATACCTGAAACCAAACATACCAGGCTAACTTCGTGCCTTCAGTTTTGCCATGACATATTCCAGGGGTGCTGAGAAACCAAACATACCAGGCTAACTTCGTGCCTTCAGTTTTGCCATGACATATTCCAGGGGTGCTGAGAAACCAAACATACCAGGCTAACTTCGTGCCTTCAGTTTTGCCATGACATATTCCAGGGGTGCTGAGAAACCAAACATACCAGGCTAACTTCGTGCCTTCAGTTTTGCCATGACATATTCCAGGGGTGCTGAGAAACCAAACATACCAGGCTAACTTCGTGCCTTCAGTTTTGCCATGACATATTCCAGGGGTGCTGAGAAACCAAACATACCAGGCTAACTTCGTGCCTTCAGTTTTGCCATGACATATTCCAGGGGTGCTGAGAACGTGAGCGAGTGTAACTCCTGGAGTAGGAGGAGTATCATGGATGACTTCCAGTATATAACTAAAATTTGAACAGTCACTTACACATGCCATAAGTGTACCCTGTACATCAAATTCACTGATGAAAAACACCATCTTTTATTTCTTCTGTCATCTAAGTGGGTCTTATATATCAGCTGATATCACTTCAAATGGTTAAATTTGATAACGTGATAAAAATAACAATTTTACAGATAGATATATATAACTGTCCTTTTTTTATTGTAAATAAAATCGCCCTTTTAAATATACTCGCACAAAACAAGTAAATGGCTTTCCAGATCCTCATAACTTGTTTTAACTAAATCAACTACGGGAACCTAATATTCTAAAATAATTATAAAGTGTAAAGGTGTAAATTTACAATGTCACAGATGATGCCCTACTTTAGGACATTGACATGCTGCCCTAATCGCATTAATTGGGATCTATATCTTTCCTTGTTTCCCTACTCTAACTTGTCGGTGGTGTCGGACCTTTGCGAGGACATCAAATCCCAAACAACAAATTTTAAGATTTTAAAATTTTGTAATGAAAGAACATAGACAACAAACCTAAACAAGAGGCCCATGGGCCTTAACAGTCACCTGATATATTTATACAGAGAGTTGATTTTGTTTTTAACACGAACAGAAATATTATTCAAAGTGACAAATAAAAATAAAACCACCTAATTCAATATCAAGCATACAGATTTGAGACTGAAAAGTATTTGAAACTAGCACCTCTGATTCTAAACATTTTTAGCACACTGACTCCTTTGGGCCCTACCCTACAGCCCTTGGGGGTAGGGCTGGCTCAAAATGTTCATAGTATCAAACTGTCAACTCAGGGTTATAATTACAATCAAGTTATTAACATGTAATATTCAAAGTATCATTTACCATTATAAGCCATAATAAATGTTGCCCCCCCCCCCCTCCTTCCCCAGGGGGGAAAAAGGAGCCCCTAGGGTCATAAACCTTAAGACCCTTCCATCTATGAAGAGTGTTTGATTCTACCATATATGGGTCTTGAGAAGATTTTTGAAATTTTAGTCATTTTGACCCTTTTTGGCCCTGCCCCTCAGGCCCCTGGGGGCTGGGGACCAAACCGGCCACAATTGTTGTTGACCTTTGGCCATGGAAGGTTTCTGCAAAATTTCATTGAAATTGGTTCAGGGGTTTTGGAGAAGAAGTCGAAAATGTAAATTGTTTACGGACGCATGACGGACGCCGGACGCTGCCAGACAAAAGGCGATCACAATAGGTCACTTGAGACTTTGTCTCAGGTGACCTAAAAATGTACCACTTAGATCAGACTGCAGATGTGACACTTGCCACATGTGAATATTCCAGGAAATCTAGTTTTGTGGAGATTCAATGCCTAGGTTTAACCTCTTTTAACTTCTGTTGGTACCAGGCAACTGCCCCACGTAGGTCTTGAACCCGCGACCCAGTAGAGGGCTAATGGTAGCAGAATGTCAGACCCCTTAACCACTTGGCCACCGCTGCCCCCTAGTGTATCTAATATCATATACATATATAATGTGGACAAGAAAATAGTTTATAACAAATAAATTTCTCATTAATAATTTATCATGGACAAGGAACACAACATGACAGTTCTTTTCTTTGACACAAATCATTCTGATTAATCTACAACATATTAAATACAAATTATAGGTTTGACAAAATGAAACTATTGTTGTTGGTTCCAAACCAAACCTCAACACAGGTAATGACATGTAGATCATAAATAATGTATATAACAGGTAAATTCTAACACTGATTAACAAAACAGAATATACATATCATGGATTTCATGGATTTAAAAAAAAGAATGTTATAAATAAAACAGAGAGCAGTAAATAAAATCTGATCATACAGGAATGGTTCCTATCAAATCTGTCAGGCTGTTACATACCATCCTTGATACTCCGGGGTTACACCCCCCTGAAATATGCCATAGCAAAATTGAAGGCATCGGCTAGCTATTTGATTGGTCTCGGGTAAAAAAACTAACTAATCGCTAGGCTGACACCTGTCCTTTGAAGATAACAGAGGAGCACTCTCAAAGCCATTCAATTTCACTTACCGTTATGCAACCAACAGAATCTTTTGATGTAAGGACCAAACTTATCTTCTCATTGATCCTCTAATCCACAAGGCGGTGCACATTGTGCCTTTGATTTTGCTATGATATATATTCCCGGGGTGCAGAGAGCAAAAGTGAGCGTAATCAATGGAGTATCAAGGATGGTTACATACATATCATACACTAAAATAGGATATGTGTGTTACAAATCAGAAAGTATATAGTATTTACAACATATAATGAATTTGAGGCAGAAATATTGGTTGCAGCACCATGAAATGTAAACAAAAAGCATTCTCTACCAAACATTTGTATAAACTTCAAATTTAGAAAATTAAGAAATTTAAGTCTCAAGAATGAGAACAGAATGGGTAAAAGAACCCTATAATCACTTGGCTACTTATAAATAGTGGGTAAGAAGTAAACCGATTAAGGAAGGTCTTTCTGACAAAGATAAGCTGTACATGGCATTACTATGGACTGTTGCCAGCCTTTTAAATAACATTGTTAAAGAATGAAAAATTCTTGATTTGGCTCACTATCAAGAAACATGATTTTATAATAAATAACTTGATTTAATAAATCTGATAAACAGAAAAAAATGTTTATACATGTATAAACTCAACAAATTAAAGCAATCATCAAAAAATTGAAAATATGCTTAAATATACAAATACATTTAATTAGATTCAATAGAATTCAAAGTGGAAAAAAAAGGGAATATTAACCAGTAAAACTTGCGTAGAAAACCTGCTATATACATACGTGTTGTTATGGAGATGGAGTCACATTTAATATTAATGTCAGATTCAAATGTAAGATTAACAATATTAAATTAAAAGAAACAGATGTTTAAACTACTAAAAGAAGCAAGAAACTTAATAAACATATAGTAGAAATAAGAAACTTAATGAATAAAACAATGAATTTTTAAATCTGCAGTGGTACCCGACATGAATGATTTTTTTATACAGATTTGTAAGATTGTGGAAATCATCAATGCAGAAGTTCAAATAATTAACAAATCTAAACTAAAACAGTATTAGATCAACACCATATATATAAACAGTAGAACCTAATCAAGTCTACTATCTTGGTCTTGACACACTGAATACATGTCGTAATGTTAAGTTAACAGTAACAGAACACCCAGTTAACAATAATTTTCCTGGTCCCAATAAAGGTCAAGCTGAGACAGTTTTAAGGTAACTCATGGCAGTGCACAACTCTGAAGTGAACATTTTTTATACATGTTACTCAAGTCAACTTAAAATATATCTACAACAACATCACCCATTAAACTCGTTTTAAATAATTAACAAGATGACCACACAGGTACATACACACATATCCTTGTGGAAATAAAGGAAGGGATTTAACAAACTAATAAAACTGTCGGAGCAAATAGGAGGAATGTTAATTGCACATTTACATGATTGTGGTAGAGCCTTCTAAGCTTAAACTAACCGATCAAAAATCAGATCTTATCAAACTAAAACTGTAAGCAGAATTCTTAGCTCAAAATACCCCTGTACATCCATATACATAGATCCTAGAACTAGATATATGAGCGATAGAACTTACCCTGCTTGCTTTCATACTTTTATAGCTATCATCCATACTGCCTTATCCTTCTTATTTCAATTTAATGGAAGAAAAAGTATTCAAAGTGCTCTAATGCACTGTAGTAACATATACCAAGTAGGGCTGCATTAAAGTAAATGACTTTTTATAATTTGATTTTGAAAGAGGGTTAAGTTAATGCATATATAAGATTGCTAGATTTAACTGGAAGCGTCAGATATATTTTTGCTCCTCGCATAACTGTTCTTATAAAAAAAAGTGACGGACAAATGGACGAAACAAACAGTATATAAACCGACTTCAGCCAAAGGGGGGTATAATGTCATCAAAAAAGTTAAAACAGTCTTGTTAAAAAGGGGATTGAAATGAGGCTGTTACACATTCACAGGTACAAATGATGAAGAAGAAATTTTACAATGTTTTGCCTCCATCTTGTACCTTCTGAATAGCTGAATGGACAAGGCTTTGTCATGCTTATGAAAAACAAGGGTCACAACTCAGTAAAGTTTCATAAAATTGATGCAAGCAGGTAGGCAAAGAGACAGTATTCCATGCCCTCTAGCTTTGATGCAGAGGGTTGGTAAGGGCTTTATAATAATACACACATGCACATTTACATATGCTGGTGGTAAACACAAAGGGCAGTAACTCTGGAAAGAATTATCACATAAATATGTCCAATACACTTGACATACAAAAGCTTTTAAGGGGACAATTTAGTGATGAAAGTTTTTTTATAATCTGATCACAAAATTCTAAATAATATAGACAATGTTTTCTCGACGTTCTTAATCTGCAATGAAGAAATCATTAACTATACAACCATACGTTTCAGAGGCAGCTGCCCATGAACTTCTAACTAACAAATATGTCTTTCCAACCAAGGAAATTAGGTTTTGTGCTGTATTTAGTTAACTACTTTGGAATGCAAGTACTGGCATATATTCTCAATTAAAAGCATCTTCTAAACAACATTTCAATTATCACTATAAATGAGTTTTATATTTAATCCTAATCATATTGTACTTTGTGCAGTTTGAAATTCTCCCTACGAAAACTTCTTGCATGCTCAATCCAACTGTGAACACAAATATCTCATTAGATTCATAAAATATGATACTTGTTATTCTTGCTTGTGATGTGCTGTGTAAATGCGAAATCAGACTCACTGACACTGTGTTGTCAGTTGACAGTGTGGTACTTTACATGTTTACTTCCCACGAAAAAATTGCACTATTTCGGTTCTAGCTATACTTACCACTGGCTTTTCCAAAAGAAAACTGATTACACTAGACGTTGGCTTCAAGTCATGTCATTATCAACTACATAAAGTTTCGTAAGGAGGTAGATTTTTTCAGTATCTCATTGATTTTATGGGTGTTATTTGACTAAATAGCTCCTTTAATGATGGTAAATCCTACAATTTTTAAAGAAAATGAAATAGCAACTAAGCTGTCAGCTGTCTAGACAAAAGGTAACATATTACCAGGTAGGTGGACAATGCCATACCAACCTTTCGTTACTGTTGATGTTTGTAGAATCTTTTAAGCTACTTTTGTTTTCAAATTAATAGTAAAATGCAACGAGTTTGTATACAAAAATGAAGTTCCTCCATTCACTTTAACAACCAAACAAACATTTTTTACAGTTTTACAGGTTCCCTTTTGGCCCAGACATTTATACAGAGTATTTCTATATCTTTATATAGTTTGTGTTAACTCTATCAGATAAAGTCTTTACACAAGCAGTGATATGTCTTTTCAACTGGGAAAACAATGTGACATTTTCTGTGATTGCTGAAAAGTTATACTTGCTGGAAACCTGCCCGTAATGCATTAAAAACAACAATCGTCATAGAATGACAGTTGGTTGGCTGGAAAGTGTGACCTTTTGACCTGATTTTTGACCTTGTGGGGAGGTGTTTTTAATTTTGTTTGGTGATGTCACCTTTCCTTGTGGAGCTTTAAATGGACTTGCTTTCCTGGCAGTGCTGGTTCGGTGTGGATTGGAATTCTGAGTCAGCAGTGTCCGAGTAATTGTCTTGACCACTGGTCCAATTTTGTCAGCTGTGGCAGACTGGTCACTTAAAACTGACCATTCTCGAAGTATCAGTCCTGGAGGTACCTGGTAATGGAACCATGATCATAGCTTTAGAAAATACAGGTTCTCAGGTCGAATCCAGACTATTAAGTTATTGACATTTTCCTCATTTGTAATTGATCACAATTTTGAAACTAAATGTCAACAAACCCAGTTTGCTATGACACATTAAGGAATATGTTTGTAAGCCACTAGGTAACATACACTAGAAAGATAGCAAGATATGTATACATTTGTGATACCATCCAAACAGCATTGGAATGTAAATTTCTGCTGTTTGTTTCAGTCCTAGTTATTCCATTTGTACATTTTATCAATACACACATACGTAAGTCGCTTCCCCTCCCTCACCTGGTGTATCCTGGTCAGTGTACCGGCCAGTAACGGACTGAGGACAGGGACCACTGTTCGGTCGTTCCACAGGAACTCTCGTACCAACTGCTCCATGGACAGATCACCTGGTATATACATGTATTTAGAACTTTGAGGCTTAAACAATTCTTACATATATTGCCCTTTAGCTTATTGAAAAGGAAACAAGTCTTTGTTTCTCCAAGATTAATCATGTTTCACAAGGGCAGAGCCAAAATGAAACATGATTAATCAAGAAAGAACAAAGAATCACGTTTTCCACTGACAATGGCAATATATATTTTATTATACTGAATAAAGCAATGATTGACAAATAAAGATGATCAGGTTGATGAGCCATTAACTGTTTTCTGCTTTAGTAACTTTTAACTCAGTTGTGGTATCTTTGCCCATTTTTCTAGAGAAGCTCTAAATAAGGGAAATATGACTTGGGGGGAACTCAAGCATGTGAGGGTGACACAATGTTTTATTGCCCTGTCATGTGATAAATATAATCAAATCAGGCAATTGCAAGCTGCAAGCTGTTATGTAGATGATATATAATAAAACTTTTTACAACTTTCTGCTATGAAACTGTCATTATCATTAAAGTTATTGAAAACTATCAATAACAATAGCATTAAATCAAACAAATGTATGTACCCAAGAGCCTGTTACTATGGATGTATAGAACAATGGACTTATGGGATAATAAGAGAAGACCAATATAGTTTCTATGGTACCTACCATACACCAGTACACACACCCCGGCAACTGCTGGAGTTTCTATGGTACCTACCAAACACCAGTACACACACCCCGACCACTGCTGGAGTTTCTATGGTACCTACCATACACCAGTACACACAGGTCACACACCTTGGCCACTCCTGGAGTCTCTATGGTACCTACCATACACCAGTAAACACAAGGCACACACCCCGGCCACTGCTGGAGTCTCTATGGTACCTACCAAACACCAGTACACACACCCCGACCCCTGCTGGAGTTTCTATGGTACCTACCATACACCAGTACACACAGGTCACACACCCCGGCCACTGCTGCATCCCTCTCCTGCTCAGTCGCTCCACAAGGTACGGTCGACATCTTGTCTTTATTCACATCTTTCCCTTTTCCCTGTGAAAAATATTTACATTATATTCTGAGTTCGAAAATTGCACTATCAATCTATCAGTAAATCTGGAGATGATATTGTCCACAGATGTTGTATGCTGAGCTGAGTCTTCAGTGCCTTACCTGTTTTTCTGGAGAAACAGTGAGGACACTGTACTGTTGGTGAATATCAGTGCCTTACCTGTTTGTCTGGAGAAACAGCGAGGACACTATACTGTTGGTGAATATCAGTGCCTTACCTGTTTGTCTGGAGAAACAGTAAGGACACTGTACTGTTGGTGAAGATCTCCAACTCTAGATCTGTGACCGTTGACATCTCCTTCTCCATGGTTACTACATGTTACTATAGTAACATCCTCCAAACAGGCCAGATGTGACAACACAGACCTTCAAAGGGAAAACAGATCATTCAGTCATGAAGAATCAATGACAACTGTCGGTTATATATGAAAAATAAAATAAAGTTGGACATTGAAAACAGATTTATGTTATCAAAGAACCTTGTGATGCATCTTGCAAACAGTACCCGTAACAAATTGTTCTCCAACAATGTTTCGTACAACTGTTTACACCTGCATTTGGAGAATAATGTTTCGTACAACTGTTTACACCTGCATTTATGTTAATTAATCTAGTAAACACCTGTACCTACCTGTTCACCTGAACCAACTGAGTTAATTCTTGAATCTATCTGTACAAGCCTAGTTAACACATGTATCTACCTGTACAGACCTAATTAACACCTGTATATACATTTTTGTACCTGTCTAGACCTAGTTAATACCTGTATATAGCTGTAAACCTATACCAACTTAGCTAATGTTTGTATCTACCTGTACAGACCTAGTTAATACCTTATCACCTGTGTAAACCAACTTAATACCTGTATATAGCTGTTAACATATACCAACTTAGCTAATGTTTGGATATACCTGTAAAGACCTAGTTAACACATTATCAACCTGTAAAGACCTAGTTAACACACTATCTACCTGTATAGACCTAGTTAACACATTATCTACCTGTATAGACCTAATTACCACATGTATATACCTGTATATACCTAGTTGACACATGTATCTACCTGTAAAAACCTAGTTAACACATGTATCTACCTGTATAGACCTAGTTACCACATGTATCTACCTGTATAGACCTAGATAACACATGTATCTACCTGTACAGATCTAGTTAACACCTGTATCTACCTGGATGTCTGTACTGACCTAGCTACCACTTATTTCTACCAATATTTCTATACACCTATGTTGACTTTGTTAACAGCACTACCTACCTATACACCTATGTTGATCCAGTTAACAGCACTACCTACCTAAACACCTGTACATGTGTTGACCTTGTTAACACCACTACCTACCATTACACCTAAGTGACCTTGTTAACAGCACTACCTACCTATACACCTATGTTGACCCAGTTAACAGCACTACCTACCTATACACATATGTTGACCAAGTTAACACCCCTACCTACCTATACACCTATGTTGACCAAGTTAACAGCACTACCTACCTATACACCTAAGTGACCTTGTTAACAGCACTACCAACCTATACACCTATGTTGACCCAGTTAACAGCACTACCTACATATACACCTAAGTGACCTTGTTAACAGCACTACCAACCCTATACACCTATGTTGACCCAGTTAACAGCACTACCTACCTATACACCTATGTTGACCCAGTTAACACCCCTACCTACCTATACACCTATGTTGACCCAGTTAACAGAACTACCTACATATACACCTAAGTGACCTTGTTAACAGCACTACCTACCTATACACCTATGTTGTCCCAGTTAACACCCCTACCTACCTATACACCTATGTGACCCTGTTAACAGCACTACCTACCTATACACCTAAGTGACCTTGTTAACAGCACTACCTACCTATACACCTATGTTGTCCCAGTTAACACCCCTACCTACCTATACACCTATGTTGACCAAGTTAACAGCACTACCTGCCTATACACCTAAGTGACCTTGTTAACAGCACTACACCTACCTATACACCTGTGTTGACCTTGTTAACACTACTACCTACCTTTACACCTATGTTGTCCCAGTTAACACGACTACCTACCTATACACCAAAGTGACCTTGTTAAAACCACTACCTACCTATACACCTATGTTGACCTCGTTACTTACCTATACACCTATGTTGACCCAGTTAACACCCCTACCTACCTATACACCTTTGTTGACCCAGTTAACACCACTACCAACCTATACACCTATGTTGACCCAGTTAACACCCCTACCTACCTATACACCTATGTTGCCCCAGTTAACACCCCTCCCTACCTATACACCTTTGTTGACCCAGTTAACACCCCTACCTACGTATACACCTATGTTGACCCAGTTAACAGTACTACCTACCTATACACCTATGTTGACCCATTTAACACCCCTACCTACCTATACACCTATGTTGACCCAGTTAACAACCCTACCAACCTATACACCTATGTTGACCAAGTTAACACCACTTCCTACCTATACACCAATGTTGACCCAGTTAACACCCCTACCAACCTATACACCTAAGTGACCTTGTTAACACCACTACATACCTATACACCTATATTGACCCAGTTAACACCACTTCCTACCTATACACCTATGTTGACCCAGTTAACACCACTACCTACCTATACACCTATGTGACCCTGTTAACACCACTACCTACCTATACACCTAAGTGACCTTGTTAACAGCACTACCTACCTATACACCTATGTTGACCTTGTTACTTACCTATACACCTAAGGGACCTTGTTAACACCACTACCTACCTTTACACCTATGTTGACCCAGTTAACACCACTACCTACCTATACCCCTAAGTGACCTTGTTAACAGCACTACTCCTACCTATACACCTGTGTTGACCCAGTTAACAGCACTACCTACATATAGACCTAAGTGACCTTGTTAACAGCACTACACCTACCTATACACCTTTGTTGACCCAGTTAACACCACTACCAACCTATACACCTATGTTGACCTTGTTACTTACCTATACACCTAAGGGACCTTGTTAACACCACTACCTACCTATACACCTTGGTTGACCCAGATTCTGATGTATTTCCTAGCATCACACACACACAGAACTGACTGTGGATATTTCTTCTCAAGGAGCACACCTGTTTGTTATAAGAGAATGTTGTGAAAGATATTATATATTTCATTGTCGCAAATTAAAATGAAGGATATATTGTGCTATAGAAGTTTTCCTTTCCAGATTTGAAATGAAAAGTTAGCCATAATCAATTACCTTTAAGCAAATAATACTTGTACAAATTATGTAAGAATGTACAAGTATAATTAGTTCAACATGCTTAAAATGTTGGTGTACCTGAATTTATTTCAACATTGTTCATTAATTAAACTATTTAGAAAATGTTTCTTTGAGTATTTGATAACTTGAAATTGAGGAAAGGTTTACATTGATAGGTATATCAAACTGGTTTTAAAACTTCATTTATATTAAAACCTGAACAAAAAAAATTTGTTTACATGTCAATATTTCTTTGAATGTAGTTGACTGAATATTACTTTGCAAGTAACAATATAGAGATAAAACCTACCCTTTGTGACATCTTTGTATCCTGATTCACATTGGTCTGGTCACGGTTCTCATCAGGGTCGAGGCAATTCTTGATTCTTCTCAATAGATCCATTTGGAAGTTATCTCTTTGGATATTCTACAGATGCCAGAATAATTGACAGAATCAGTAACAAAAAAAGAATAATTTTGTTTTTTAAACATGTAGGTCCAAATGTCTCTAGATTCCATATTACCGGTATCTAAATTATCTAGGGTAAAATCTACACCAATTTATTTTGTTTCGTAGAATTGAGATTCTAATTAATTTGGTAAACTCTTGATTCCTTTTACTCAGATTGCCAAGTTATTTTAAGTATACACAACAAACTCTACAGCATTTATCATTCACATTTTAACAAAAATCTTCATATCACAGGTCAAAATATTTAAGAGCTAGCTACTAGATAGCGTTAGTGAATGACAGTAGCCATCAAATAGTTATACTTTGAGATTCATTTCTTAAGATGTTTGAAATTCCAAAATGCATTCATAGATTCTTTAATATTTGTAAAGTCAAATCTAATGTAAAGTTCCTCTGTAACGCCTCTAATTTCACTGCAATCTCTAAGAGGTATTACATTCATTGAGACATGGGACTTGTAACTATGAATGCCATTTCAGGGACCATCCTGGTATTAAGCCATCTAGAGCTCTTTTGCAGGAGACACATATCTCTGACAACAGTATGCTCACACAAATCAACCCCTGATTATCTGTATGGAAGGTCAGTGGTAGCAGCACTGGACTAATCTGGCCAATGACTTAGTTTCCTGTCCACTGATACATACCAGCCAGGGTTCCTTTCCTATCAGCATGTTTACCCAGAGGGGAAACTCATGAGTATCTTTATCTAGCGTTGTCAGGGCGATCAGTCGTTTTCTGTGCTCACAATAGTACACCTGAAATATCAAAATCAACATTGTTATGAGGTGGATTCTCAAAGAGGCTCCAAACAGTATATACAGTCAAACCTACTTCAGACATCCCTATTAAATTTTTCTCAGCTACAAATGTACAAACATGTACAAATATCTTAATAATTATCTTAATACCCAAAACTTGTATTTCTTTCACAACATTTATGAAACAAGTCATATCAACTTATATAAATCACTTTTTTATCCAAGAGGCTACTATGCAAGGAATTTCTATGTGGAAGGAAACCAGAGTACCCAGAACAAAGGGAGATTACCCACATCTGTTCATGTCTGATTGGGGAACCAAACCCCGACTGTCTTGGTGAAAGGTGAGAACACTAACTAATGTGCCATCCGCCCACCCAATGATTACCTACATGTGTTAAGATGTTTCTGGAGAGTTGAGTTTCATTTGGTTTGTTTTAGTTTAATGTCCTATTATATAAACAGCTATGGTCATTTAAAGACGTGCCAGGTTTTGGTGGTGGAGGAAAGCCGGAGTTTACGGAGAGAAAACACCGACCAACGGCCAGTACCTGGCAACTGCCCCATGTAGGTCTCGAACCTGCGACCCAGTGGTGGAGGGCTAGTGGTAGCAGAATGTCAGACGCCTTAACCACTTGGCCACCACAGCCGTGGAGAGAGGAAACCTATGTTGGGTATGATAGTAAGAACAGACCTGCTGTTGACACGTCCGTGAGGCCCCAAACTGTTGAGACAAGATGGCCAGGATGACTCCAGCATCGTCAGCTTTCTCCTGGAACACAGCATTGTTGTCTTGTTCCTCCTCACACAAACTAGTCTGGCTACTCTGTGACAGCCTCACTGGGTACACAAAGAGGGATAACTCTGTCACAACTCAGTCCATAACACAGCTGAGACAAAATATCTTATATTTTGCCTTGAAACAGTAAATGTAGCAAAGTCAATAAACATTTTTTTTCTTTTTATATCATCACATACATCATTATCTTAAAGTTTTAATGAAAACTCTCTTCTTTTATTTTTTTCATCTCTCATCAGTCCAACATTTTTTCAGGACTTTAACAAATTTTAGTGTTTATCAGTGTTACAAGTCAGAAATATGTTGCTTATAGTTACAAAAGATCTACCTGTGGGACTTGATGGTAAAGAATCGGGACAGGAGATGTCAAGCTCTGTTGACAACAGGACTTCAAATCCCTGTTCCTGTAGCCAATCCTTCAGCTGGCATCCCTACAAGTTGACAGATAAAATAATTTACAATTTTTACATAAACTAAGAATTTTATTAATCATAATTAAGTTATTAACAAACTTCTTTATTAATGCAGTATGATTTACAAATTCAACACAAAAGGTACAATACAATGTACTTCCTGGCAGATAAATTTATGCCCGAGTATGTACAGTCTGGTATTGTTTCAGACATACCTGTTCCCGCTGCTCTGGGTGAAGACAAACGACGATCAAAGGACGACCATCCCGATTAGATGTGATGGCTTGTGGGTTTGAACGACTCACCATGGCACAGCTTTTCACAATGGTTTTCTGAAATTGAAAACAATGCATGGAAAAAAAGTTATTTTATTTATTTATCGCCTGAACATTTAATCTTTTGCAACGTTATGTTAATAAAAAAATGCAAACTTCGAAAGAGAAGAATAGTAATGACATAAATTTAGTCATGAAAACAGGAAAAAACACTTTCTCTCTTAAATTAGCAATCAATTAAGAACAACAAGTAACAAGACTGACCCTCCTGACAAGGGAAGGAACTCTGGATGACTGCCAGCCTTGAGTGACCCTTTCAGCCACTTTCGATGCCACCAAAGAAATGTACTTCCTGTCCCATATCTGGAAATCATTCACAGACTCTCCACGACCCTCAGCTAGCTCTGTCAAACAGAGAATAAAACATAAGCTTCTGTCTATTAGCTTCTCTCTATTAGCTTTTCCAATAAAACATAGGTCTGCTCCATATGGAGGGCCAATTTAAGTAAACTCTGGATCTGTAGTAAGTGGGTAATTTGGAAAGTGGGAAGTTGCTGTCTGGGTCTGTGGTAATTAGTTTTGTTTTTATTCTGTTTAATGTCCTACTAACAGCTACAGTGTAAGGTCATTTCAGGATGTGCCTCCGTGTGTGTAGTGTATTTGTGTTGTGGTAATGGGGGATTTAGGTCTGTGCTAAGTCAGTGGGAGTCTTGGTCTGGAGTAAGTGGGTGTGGTAAATGAGCTTTTGGGTTTATTGTAAGTGGGGTTTTGCATCCTTGGTAAATGAGTGTTTGGGTTTATGGTAATAAGTCAGTGTTTTGGTCTGTAGTAAGTGGGTGGTTTGGTCTGTGGTAAGTGGGTGGTTTGGTCTGTGGTAAGTGGGTGGTTTAGTCTGTGGTAAGTGGGGGGTTTGGTCTGTAGTAAGTGGGTGGTTTGGTCTGTGGTAAGTGGGTGGTTTGGTCTGTGGTAAGTGGGTGGTTTGGTCTGCAGTAGTAGGTGTTTCTTCCTGTGGTAAAAGGCTGAAATGTATGCACTATGGAGACGTTTTAATTGAATAGTATTTTTATTTCGTTGATTGACTCACTTTTTTACAAACTTGTGTATTACTTTTAAAAACAGCGGAATTTCTTATCTATTACTTTTTTATTAATTCAATAACGATGTTGCGTAGAACAGATTGAGCTATGGCAATTTATTCATATATTTGTCAAATTGTGGTCAATGTAAACACTTTAAGACTTTTGTTAAAAAAAAAATAAGAAAAGAGGTCACTACAATAAATGTATCTTCAAAACTGTGTATCAGTCCTGATTAACAGGTTACAAGAATCAACAGTAAGCAGATATCAGTCCTGATTAACAGGTTACAAGCATCAACAGTAAGTAGATATCACTCCTGATTAACAGGTTACAAACATCAACAGTCAGCAGATATCACTCCTGATTAACAGGTTACAAGCATCAACAGTAAGCAGATATCACGCCTGATTAACAGGTTACAAGCATCAACAGTTAGCAGATATCACTCCTGATTAACAGGTTACAAACATCAACAGTTAGCAGATATCACTCCTGATTAACAGGTTACAAGCATCAACAGTAAGTAGATATCACTCCTGATTAACAGGTTACAAGCATCAACAGTAACCAGATATCACTCCTGATTAACAGGTTACAAGAATCAACAGTAAGCAGATATCACTCCTGATTAACAGGTTACAAGAATCAACGGTAAGCAGATATCACTCCTGATTAACAGGTTACAAACATCAACAGTAACTAGATATCACTCCTGATGAACAGGTTACAAACATCAACAGTAAGCAGATATCACTCCTGATTAACAGGTTTCAAACATCAACAGTAACTAGATATCACTCCTGATTAACAGGTTACAAACATCAACAGTAACGAGATATCACTCCTGATGAATAGGTTTTAAACATCAACAGTAACCATATATCACTCCTGATTAAAAGGCAACAAGCATCAACAGTAAGCAGGTATCACTCCTGATTAACAGTTTACAAGCATCAACAGTAAGCAGGTATCACTCCTGATTAACAGGCTACAAACATCAACAGTAACTAGATATCACTCCTGATGAACAGGTTTTAAACATCAACAGTAACCAGATATCACTCCTGATTAACAGGTTACAAGCATCAACAGTAAGCAGATATCACTCCTGATTAACAGGTTACAAACATCAACATTAACTAGATATCACTCCTGATGAACAGGTTTTAAACATCGACAGTAACCAGATATCACTCCTGATTAACAGGTTACAAGAATCAACAGTAACTATATATCACCCCTGATTAACAGGTTACAAACATCAACAGTAACTTGATATCACCCCTGATTAAAAGGTTACAAACATCAACAGTAAGTAGATATCACTCCTAATTAACAGGTTACAAGCATCAACAGTAACTAGATATCATTCCTGATTAACAGGTTACAAACATCAACAGTAACTAGATATCACCCCTGATTAACAGGTTACAAACATCAACAGTAAATAGATATCACTCCTGATGAACAGGTTACAAACATCAACAGTAACCAGATATCACTCCTGATTAACAGGTAACAAGCATCAACAGTAACTAGATATCACTCCTGATTAACAGGTTACAAACATCAACAGTAAGCAGATATCACTCCTGATTAAAATGTTACGAGCTTCAACAGTAAGCAGATATCACTCCTGATTAACAGGTTACAAACATCAACAGTAACTAGATATCACTCCTGATTAACAGGTTACAAGCATCAACAGTAAGCAGATATCACTCCTGATTAGAAGGCAACAAGCATCAACAGTAAGCAAATATCACTCCTGATTAACAGGTTACAAGCATCAACAGTTTGCAGATATCACTCCTGATTAACAGGTTACAAACATCAACAGTAAGTAAGCAGATATCACTCCTGATTAAAAGGTTACAAGCATCAACAGTAAGGAGATATCATTCCTGATTAAAAGGTTACAAGCATCAACAGTAAGCAGATATCACTCCTGATTAACAGGTTACAAACATCAACAGTTAGCAGATATCACTCCTGATTAAAAGGTTGAAGAATCGACAGTAAGCAGATATCACTCCTGATTAACAGGTTACAAACATCAACAGTTAGCAGATATCACTCCTGATTAACAGGTTACAAGAATCGACAGTAAGCAGATATCACTCTGTGATTAACAGATTACAAGCATCAACAGTAAGCAGATATCACTCCTGATTAACAGGTTACAAGCATCAACAGTAAGCAGATATCACTCCTGATTAACATTTTACAAGAATCAACATTAAGCAGATATCACTCCTGATTAACAGTTTACAAGAATCAACAGTAAGCAGATATCACTCCTGATTAACAGGTTACAAGCATCAACAGTAAGCAGATATCGCTCCTGATTAACAGGTTACAAGCATCAACAGTAAGAAGATATCACTCCTGATTAAAAGGCAACAAGCATCAACAGTAAGCAGATATCACTCCCGATTAGCAGGTTACAAACATCAACAGTTAGCAGATATCACTCCTGATTAACAGGTTACAAGCATCAACAGTAACTAGATATCACTCCTGATTAAAAGGTTACAAGCATCAACAGTAAGCTGATATCACTCCTGATTAAAAGGTTACAAGCATCAACAGTAACTAGATATCACTCCTGATTAAAAGGTTACAAGCATCAACAGTAAGCAGATATCACTCCTGATTAAAAGGTTTCAAGCATCAACAGTGAGCAGATTTCACTCCTGATTAACAGGTTACAAGCATCAACAGTAAGCAGATATCACTCCTGATTAAAAGGCAACAAGCATCAACAGTAAGCAGATATCACTCTTTATTAACAGGTTACAAGCAATATCACTCCTGATTAAAAGGTCCTGATTAAAAGGTTACAAGAATCAACAGTAAGCAGATATACAAGCATCAACAGTAAGCAGATATCGCTCCTGATTAAAAGGCAACAAGCATCAACAGTAAGCAGATATCACTCCTTGATTAACAGGTTACAAGCTTCAACAGTAAGCAGATATCACTCCTGATTAACAGATTACAAGCATCAACAGTAAGCAGATATCACTCCTGATTAACAGATTACAAGAATCAACAGTAAGCAGATACCACTCCTGATTAACAGATTACAAGAATCAACAGTAAGCAGATATACAAGTGAACAGGTTACAAACATCAACAGTAAGCAGCTATCACTCCTGATTAACAGGTTACAAGAATCAACAGTAAGCAGATATTCAAGCATCAACAGTAAGCAGATATCAATCTTTATTAACAGGTTACAAGCATCAACAGATAGCAGATATCACTCCTGATTAAAAGGTTACAAGAATCAACAGTAAGCAGATACCGCTCCTGATTAACAGATTACAAGAATCAACAGTAAGCAGATACCGCTCCTGATTAACAGATTACAAGAATCAACAGTAAGCAGATATTCAAGCATCAACAGTAAGCAGATATCAATCCTGATTAACAGGTTACAAACATCAGCAGTAAGCAGATATCACTCCTGATTAACAGGTTACAAGCATCAACAGTTAGCAGATATCACTCCTGATTAAAAGGTTACAATCATCCACAGTAAGCAGATATCACTCCTGATTAACAGGTTACAAACATCAACAGTAAGCAGATATCACTCCTGATTAACAGATTACAAGCATCAACAGTAAGCAGATATCACTCTGTGATTAACAGGTTACAAGCATCAACAGTAAGCAGATTACCTGTCTGTATCTGTGTGGGAGTTTTCCAAGCTATATACTGTGTCGTAGCAAACTGGATAGCTAGACAGCGTGGTGGCCATTCTTCCAGGAAGTTGACAGGTAAAATAAATTTACCTAAAACATCAGCAAGCTTCACCTAAAATTAATTCAAATGAAAATTTATGACACAGTCATCGTTATATGAAACATCAGTTTTTCCCAATTTTTTAAATTTTCCAAATCAGACACTGGCGTACATCTGCAATTTTGAGCAAAACAGTCTCCAGATTGAAATAGGCTTCCTGCTACACATCCAGTGAATCTTAAATCTTAACAATGTTTCTTTCATTGTAAACATTTCTGACCACTGTTTGTTTCTGTGCCTCATTGGCTAACTTTAAGTTTTCTCGCACCTCATATAGAGATATCCCACGTCATACCCCATGCTAGATTTTTCTATTTCGTCTGATATGTCTGGTACCTTTATGTGACATTTTCGTGGAATTTTTACACTGCAATGTATTCATCCTCGTGTTAACGGCTTGAAATTGACAATCTGCATTATTAATATTCTGTTTTGTCATTATATATATTGGTTTGATGTTGTTAGATATCTGATGTTGTTGATGAAATATAATCTAACTTTGAAATATGTTGTCTCCCTTGTAAGGACGGACTACATTTTATGCGGAAGAATTTATTAGTACCCTTAGTAATGTAGAGGCCTTTTTTTATGAGGCCCCAGACTGGATACTTGTAGTCTTTAGCATAATTGAATATATTTTTGAACTAAAAGGAATTAGAAAAAAACTATTACCTGTAACTGGGCAAGATTGGATTATCTCAGTCTCTGGCTAAGATTCTGTAACATCCCAACCTCGGCTTACACCTCGGTTGGGATTATGCTCCAGAATATGTTAGCCCTCGACTGTGATAACCCGATCTCGCTCAGTTAAAGGTAATATGTTTTATTAATCTATTACAGTAAATGATGTACCTCTCTGTTAGTCCACTGTGTTTCTCCGTAGACAGGTGTCACCAGGGGTACGAATATCTCACAGTTACTGACAGCATAGTTTAACGAGTCCTGCCAGTCAACACCAGATTGTATTTCATCAACATCCTGTCAATGTAACACAATATACCCATCACATTCTCAAACTTGATACTGATCACAGGACCAGCAACAATCAGTCAATAAATATGTATTCTAGTTACAACTGTAATTTCATTGATTGCAGTTTGTGAGTCAGCCAAGACATCTAGAACATCAGAGTGTTAGTAGTGACATGTATTGGTAAGTGTGTCATTTTAAAACTTCTAAGGAAGAAACCTACCTATCTATAACAGGAACAGAGACAAGGATGTCAGCAAATTTATTTGTTGCAAATATATACTTTTCCCTCATACAATTGTTTAACATTACACACAAAGATCTACTATCAAATAAACATCCCTGGTATCTAATTTAATCAATAAAATAAATATTGATAGTTTACTTTTTAATTTCTGCTTGATAAAAATTTACCTATTTACCTTAATTAAATTGTTTATGTATAGTTTCTATTACATTAAGGAAATGACCAATTCTTACCAAATAGACACTACAGCCAAGGTCAGATAACTGGTTCTTTAGCTCCACAGCATGCTGAGCTGCCTCGGCCCTAACATAGCTGATGAGTATTTGTTTGGAACTCACAGCGCCACCTTGAGGAGACTCCAAACACCGTGAACTGTCCTTGACAGAGCGGAAAGATAATGGGGACGACCTGGAACAAATAGGTACCATCATGTAACAGGGATATTAAGTGAGACAGTGCAGATAATACTTACACCCTTTGATTGGGAGGGATAAAATATCAGGTGGAGCAGCAGACAGCGAGATGGTCTTTTACTGAGATTAATATGTGGTATATGTGGTAATTGTTTTTTGTATACTGTTCCTTGTAATAGTGGCTATTGGACTAGGTTCAACCAGATATGAAAATGACTATCTTCACATAAACAGTATAAAATCTTATGTCAGAAATCCAGGTTTTTTCATCACAATCCTTACCCCATAAATCTAGGTCGTTTACAAGGTGGCTCGTACTCCGGGGAGGTCAGTTCTGACCTTACCAGATCTAGACCGCTGGTCATGTTGATGGACACAAGGACACAGTTACCAAGGAGGATGTCAAACAAGGTCAGTGTGGCCTCCTGACCACCTGACACTGGATAGCCGTTAGGGTCGAGGAACAGGAATCCCTCCTCACCTCTACTGCTCACTCTATCTCCTCTGGGAAATAGCTACAATGGCAGAGAGTACAGGTATGGTTTCTACTATCTACTAACTGCTACTCTCACTTATGGTTCATTATGTATGAACAAAATTAATGTTCAATTAATAACCCCGTCAAACTTCCAAATTGGAGTACCAAAATCTGACAGATGTGTTTCTGAACAGGCGTAACACACCACTTTGTGGGCTGTCGTTATCACTGACACCAACATTTACCTACAGGTAGATTTCAGTGACGATTGTTAATAACCAGCCACTGTCAATGTGCTTTGGAAATGAACATAATTTGTTTTACATTCAATTGACTTTAATACAAACATAACAGAAGGTTAGGGTGATAGGAAATGTTCTGGAATATCTCTTGTATTACCTATTTTCCAAAAATGCTTTACTGTCGGATGTTTAAGGAGGTTCTATTAACCCCACATACAAACCTTGTCCATGAGAATCAAAACCATGCTTCAATGTCTTTCTGCATCATTTTGTTGATGGTCATATTTAAGGATCAGTCACACATCTCTATTAACTGTATTTTTAAGGATCAGTCATATATCTCTGTTAACTAGTTATTAGTGATACTATACCTGGTTTTGAATGATGTCTCTGACTGATGCCAGAGTGCATGTGTATTCCACAAACACAAACCCTACGGGTTCTCCATTCTTAGACTTGATTCCAACTTTTGGTTTATCTACAAAAACATTAAAGGTATCAATGGTCTATACAATGTATAGGCAAATCATTTACTTTTAGACCTGTAGGAATTACTTACCTTATATTGTGTTTTATAGTATAAACAAACATTATTTGTTTAACCAAACTGAGGATCTACATAAAATTTTACAAAAGAAATGCTGATGTTTCAATTGCTTATATTATAATTACTATAATATTGAAGTCAAGTTTATTGATATGACAAATGCTACAACAAAAAATATACCCTGTCTTAATTATTGTTGAATGGTCAAATCCAGGGGTAATAATAAAGTGTGACCGTAATACCTATACCTTAGACACAACGTATCATCAAGCTGATTGAGAAATAAGTGCACATTACACGGTTTTAGCTGTAACTTAGATATTGGAGGGAGTACCTACCATGGCTCGGCTGTATACAGATTGTTCCATCATCTGATAAGATACTTCTGACCATTATAGAGTTCTCCAAAGTCTTGCTAATTGACCAACTATTGAAAAAGTAAAACATATTGGACATTTTGTATCTGATAGGATAGCACATCTTACACTAAATATAAAGAATATACAGAAGTAAGTCAAGTGAGTAACAAAAATTAGGCATCAACATATTTATACAATCAATTATATCAATTATTCAATCTTACTTTTGTAAAATTGAGTTCATACATGTAGTATAATGTATTATCAATACTACTTTGAATACACTGGTAGTTCAAATTATCCAGACAAAATTGTCACTATTGATTTATTTACTGTCTATCTCTATATAAATGCAGATGCTAACATACCGTAGTAAGTATTGTAGGGAGGAATGTAGTAACTATATAAAAGCTCTGTGCTTCAGATTCAATTTTTTCCTCCTATTGATTATACATGTATAGTATGTGATATATTTTGATTAAATTATTCAAATACAATTGCTTAATTCAAAAAGAGATCCCAGAGGCACTATTACCCCTAACCCTTCGTATATTTCCATTAGCTGATTATTGACAGTATTACTATATGGTATTACTGTGTAAATGTTACCCGCTGTAGACAACTGATCTTTGTGGACTATTTCATTATTATACGGGAATAGTCACTCTTACCAGTCTCTTACCCTTGTTTGGTACAAAATGTATAGCTTTTTGGCAGGAAATCCAGGTGTTCATTCAACACTGGTCTGAGACTGTCCAGACAGCTGTTCAGGACTGACCGACTGACTAAGGTCGCGCCGAGGTTGGTGGGTTGTCTCCCCTGGTCATCCCCATTTATCATGTCTATGCCTATGATGGTGTTGGTTATAACACAGGACATAGTGATCTCATCTATAAAATGTAAATATAAACTTTTACAGGTTGAGATAAAGGCAAGTACTAGAGTCAAAAATATTCCATGTGATTCGAAATGCATTGTATTCAGTCAAACAATTGATTGGAACATTACTACAAATGTATATATATATATATACATTGTAATAGCAAGAGTGATATTCAGAGAAAACTCTCATCAAAATCAATAACAGTATTTCATTGTTACATGTGTACATTTATCTGAATTTCTTGATTTTCCTAAATAAAGCTTTGATGTTTGAATTTATTACTGAAAATACATAGCCACATTCTATGCACTGAAATCAAAGTGATATCAAAACTATTACATGTATTTATAGATTTTGTTTTGGATCTATATATAGATAACATTCTGTGTATGGAATACAAATTTAATTTATCAGCATATTTACATAACTTTGTTATGATCAGTCCTTACAAATTTTATGACATATATCAGGGTTTTGGTTTACCTCAGTCCATATGGGGGTATGACCTCCTAAAATTGCTTTGACCCTCAAAATGTTAGAGGCTTAAGCTTGTCATGTATATAAAGGGGTCAGAATTTGTGATTTATGCCTGATTTTAGCCCCAATATTTATGTCTTTCAAAAACAGTTATATATCTCAAATATCAAGAAGCATTGCAATTGATTTTAACACTCTATCAATTCAAAACTCACTACAGGCTGACTGTTTATGACAACTTATTCATTGAATTCTACTTCACAGTAAATCTTGAAAATCCCCTGTGAAAATTAACAGATCTAGAGAACCCAATTTGTAATCTACCATTTAATGGATCCCTGTACCACTGTACCACTGCACATTATTTTTTCCTATATTCCGTTACCTTTCCTTAACATCCGTTTGCATAAAATGTATATACTATAGCAGTTAAGTATCACAGTTGGGCCATCATGGCCTGGAGACTTACGTCGACCAGGTTTAATACATAGCTCAGTCGGCTAGAGCGATAGCACAACATTCTAATCCTCCTCTGGCCCACCTAAATTTTAACACTCAATGAACTGTTTTTGATTATATTTTGTTCATTTCATCTTTATTATTTCTCATAAAAGTCTTGCAAGGTTTGGTTTTCTTTCAGAAATAGTTTATCAAAGCTTCATAAGTCAGGAAAAACAGTTACCAATATTTAGATATGTTTTTTGGCAGTACGTGGTACAGGGATCAATGCTTTTATACATATGCATTAAAGAATTGTAAAAGATACTCATACTTAAATAATATTCTTATATACATGTACTTACTCTCTGGATTGTCAGAACCAGGAAGATCTTGAGTGTCATTCATTTCTTTGTCTGTGGCCAGATCCTCATCCTCACTCATCTCCATCCTGTTGTAATCAAATACAAATGTACAAATATAACTAGTTCATATAAATAAATCCCTAAGTACCTATTAAAACACCAGAATTTTAAGGGACTTAGACATTTTAATGACTATGATGATATTTATCAGTCAAAATGATGTCTGTTTGGGCTGAACAAGGGATGTGAACTTAAGGCTTTAGCTTTCTATATCAATACCTACTCAAACCAGGGATGTGTCCCTGCTCAAACCAGGGATGTGTCCCTACTCAAACCAGGGATGTGTCCCTGCTCAAACTAATGTCCAGTCCAGATCATGATCTGTTTACATACTGATACAGATAATTTGAGGTAAATTGTGTTTAAAAACAGGACTTAGAATGTACAATCACGGAATTAGATTACTATCTTATTATAAGTCTGGTACAATGTGTCAACATTGGTGACATTTCAACAGAGACGAATAAAGTACCTTGAATGTGTCATCCGACATTGACACAATTAGTTTTGTTGTTAGTATAAATGAAAAGTATAGTATCAAATCAAGTAAACATTATTTATAGTCGGTACATTTTTCAACATGGCAACACAAGCCTTTTAAGGCTTTTACAACCGACAGTAACAAATTATAATCAGCGTATTATTATATTACAGTCATAAATTCGTATCCCAGATAATATATTTTTTAAACCTTCATCAGGTCGTGACATGTCTTTTGAATATTGTTTTTCACATTGTTTTAAAACAGTCATGTTTAATGGTAAATCAAGGGACGTTATTCAAATGTCCCGTGAAATGTATGGATTTAAAAGGACACAATATATCGTCCCGCATGATTGAAAATCAGCTGATCTAGCATATATCCGTTTATCAGATCTATCGCGCATGATCATATGAAGTAAACAGCCATGTAGCAAACAGACATATTAAACATGACCTTATTTGAAAATATGTATTATTACTGCTGAATAAAAACCTATAAATCAAAATGAGCTACCTACAAGGCATATTCGTCTTACCTGAACAGGTGCGCGCTAAAATTCAAGTGTTTTTTATAATCAGCGTAAATTTGGCGTTTGTAATATGCATGCATAATTTGACAAAAACAAACGGGGAGATGATGATGACTTTTCAGTGTGCCTTCCATTAGGTAGTTGATCCATATTTACCAGGGATTGTTCCTTTATGTGGACAAACCGATTGGTTTATTTTCAAATGCAATGATGGAGCTTTTAAGGACATGCAAATATCACTACAGACATAGTATCACTAGACCTGTCTGTTATTTAATAAAAGAAAAACTCTTGTTTAACGAGATTAATATTAACAGTATTCAATACCAAATGAATACAAATCACAAGTACATGTAGGTTTAACGTTAAATTGTGTTTTGAAATCAAGCAACGTAACGTCACGCTACCACATTTGGTACAACTTTCACAGTTTTTCAGTGATATTTAAAATCTCAGATCTTGTATCTGGAATGTTTCTGGATTCTTGACAAAGACTACCAATGGTGGTTCATTTTCAGAAAAAGTTCTGATTCTAATATAATTATAAGTAATTTGTTTTTGAAAATAAAACGCTAAACACGCAGTGAGATTCCGTCCGTTTTTCGGCCATGATTAGTACCCAAATTGGTACACCATATCACAGATTATGAAACTTGATTTTATTTTTATTCGTTAATTGATGTGTCGATTACAACACATATATATATTGCTTTTATAAATATCATGCTGAACGTACTACAATATACACTTTTATATCATCTGGTTACATACCCCTTCAAAATACGTCGTTTTTACTGTTTTTCTTATATATTCAGTTTGGAGACATCGTGTAACTTAGAATGTTCCTGAAACAAAACCATTTGGTGGAAATGCTGATAAATATCTCTTTTGTGAAACTATCAGAGGAAAATGCTTCATTCTAATTTTAAAGCACTATATTCCAGGGACGTATATACTGTCCCTGTATATTCGAACCATTTTCTTATGGTGTACCAAAAATGGGTAGTGTACTAATTGTGGTTGCGTGACGTAAGAGTTATGCGTCTTTGAGTGAACATAATATGATGTTGTTACATGTAATATTGAAAATTGCTATGGATATTTTGTCGCGAAGTAACAGTTATTATTGTCATTTAGATATATTGTCAGGATTCATTTAGTACATTATTAATTACATTGGTGCCTTTCACCATGACACCCAATGGCTTGCGAGTCTGATCAATTAAAGATACCAAACCAACTGCTGTCCGTGTGTCTTCATGTTTGATATGAGCCAAGTTATGTGCAACGGGTGAAGCAGTTGTTGCCATTTCCCTAAATGCTGAACACTTAGCAGGGAATAGCGACTACCATTTTTAAGAACTTTGGTATGTTCGGGCCTGGGGACAGACCCATTTTCTATCCCATTTAAGCGAACGTTCAACAAAAAGGCCAAAACCGAGGTCTTACCAAGCACGACACTAGGACAAACGGTTGGTAGTAAGTAGAAAGAAAACAAAGATCTCAAAATGTTGCAACTGGGGGCAACAGATCTGATTTGGTTTCTCCAATGTCCCATTAGAAGAAGATACAGAAGAAACCCCCAGATTCCACAGGGGGCTAAGCAGTACTCGCCTTTTACGATATGCAGTGTAGGGATTTGGTAAGTAGGGGAAAATACCAGATCACCTGTTTACTTTGGCGCGTTTTCGTGACAATCATTTTTCTAAGATTATGCCACTATATATAACGTATGTCTTGTTTTCGGTACACTTATATTTGCTATGTCGCACTGTGGTAGTCGGATAGTCGCAACAATACCTCTAATTAGTTAATTGCTAATATGATAAAATGATATAATAAAACACAAAACTTCAATGGTTTCAGTATAGAGTGAATCACCATATTCTGACAACAAACTCGTTCTTATTTAAAACTCGTTTAGCTATATCTCCACTCTGTATACTTCGTAATTCTGAGACTGAAACTATTATACATATCATGTGGGAATGCCAAGAGGTTCAACATCTCCATCTTAGTTTTGAAACTCTATTAAATGCACTTGCTATTCCTTTTAATTTCAATAAAGAATCCTGCCTTTTTGGACTTCTAACACAAAATATAAAAATTAATAAGATTGATAATGAAATACTCATCATTATTAAACATTATATTTATAAAATGCGATGTCTTCATACAAAACTGTAGCTCCTTGAATATAAATGCATTGATCAACACATTAAGAGACCACTATAATGTGAAGAAAAAAATCTATAGCAATTAGCAAAGGAGATATTGCTTAAGAAAGATTTGAAAAAGAATGGAAGAACTGGGGAAAACTTGGTGCTACATAAGGGTTTTTTTCTCATTTGTTTCCTCTTATGTGTGTATTTTTCCCCCTTGCCAAACTCACAACTATATACTCTTATTATAATATATTCTGATAATACATGTTTCCATTATTACATCACCCCTCTCTCTCTCTCTCGCTCTCTCTCTCGAACAAATAGTTGTTTTCTCACAACATATTAAATCTCTCTCTCTCTTCCTCTCTCTCTTCAAAACTGATGTACGGATGATGATGATGATGATGATGATATATGGACAACTATAGCGATGATGGAATGATGATATATGATGTTACTATAGCAGTGATGATGATGATGATGATGATGATGATGATGATTTCACTATTTCAACATGTGTGTATGTGTGATGATGTCATGTGTATTGTACATGTACTGGAAAAAAATGAAAAATAAAAAAATAAAAATAAATAAAGTATTTGTTGTACGAGTTGTATAAGACATTGAACAGGCTGAGGTTTTGTAGCTCTGTTTCGGGATTTTTAGTCCAGAATTTCGGTTGGGATATACATCTATCAGCCTTGTTTTAATGATGTGTAATTTTTGTTTGCTTTTGTTTTGTTTCTGTAAGCTCTTCGAACCAAACTCAGCACATATAATTCCATTAAAATTGAAAGAATTCAGAGCAGATTTTTGTTCCGCTTTGGGTGAAAATTAGTTGCTTTTATATCAAAAATGTACCAACTGATTCCTTTTCTACACAGCAATAGGTTCAACAAATACATATTTATCTAAGTTCAAGGGCACATGGTATTTCTCTTGGACTGAGCTTGTGTCTTATAACTACAACAGACCACCAAATGCTCACTTTCGCTCTCTACACCCCTGTAATATGTCATAGCAGAATCAACGGCTTAGTGTGCGCCACCTTCTGGATGATACGAGGAGACAAGTTTGATCCTTTGATGTACATCAAAAGAATTTCGCGGTCGCATAACGGTAAAACTTACTGGCTTTGAATTCGGACGTCACTCCTCTGCAATTTTCAAATGACATGTATAAGCCTAGTGGTTGGTCAGGCTTTTTTTTACCTGACACCAATCAAATAGCAAGCAGCGTGCCTTCAATATTGCTATGACATATTCCAAGGGTGCAGAGAGCGAAACTGAACGTAATCCCTGGATATCGAGGATGCCAAAAACGATTTTCGATCGGTCACTAAATTCTCCTTTTGTACTGGAAAGAGCACTGTTCATTTTATCCAAGTGAAGGACGTCAGACAATATACCTGTCTTTCTCTGTGGAGAGTGGTTTAACTTTAATCAGTAAGGATTTTAATCTATTTTTCTCTGTGGACATCCTCGATACTCCAAGGTTTACGCTCACTTTCGCTCTCTGCGCCCCTGGGATATGTCATAGCAAAATTGAAGGCACGCGGCTAGTTATTTGGTTGGTCTAGTGTAAAGAAAGCTGATCTATCTCTAGGCTGATACCTGTCCTTTGAAGATTACAAAGGAGTAACAAACGACTTCAAAGCTTGTCTATTATACCGTTACTCGACCGCGAGATTCTTTTAATACACATCATAAGATCAAACTAATTTTCTCGTCCCATCCACAAGGTGTTGCACACTGAACCTTCAATTTTACCACGACATATTCCAGGGTAGCACATTCTCGATATCCAGGGGTTACGCTCACTTTCGAGAGAGCGAAAGTGAGAGTAACCCCTGGATATCGAGGATGTGGGTAGCAGAGAGCTTAATTTAGCGAGCGTGACCATTGGAGTTTTGAGGATTCTTTGTGGAGAGTGGTATTACTTTCATCAGTTGCACAATATTTTCATTCTTATCAATAGTGTCAATGTCACTTTTATCAAATGAGAAGTATCCTGTAAACCACGGTAGGAATATGACCTAGATCAGTGTTCTTACCTGTCTTACCCTTGAAATCTCACAAGGTTAGCAATAGTCCCTCATATCAGTTCCCCTACTATATTAAAGTCGTTACTATAGGTAACTTAAGTCGTTGCTAGGTTACTAGAGTAGTTTCTTTTTCTGTTTGATACCTTATCACAGACTTATTAGTTGCTCCCTACTTTCTGTTATTGTTTCGGCTATATCAAAATAATCACAGTTTGGGTTTTCGACTTTTTGTTGTTGTTTTAAGTGACATTTCTTTGGTCGTTGGTTTTTCTCCAGGTTCTCCGGCTTTCCTCCACCACCGTGAACTGGCATGTCCTTAAATGACCATAGCTGTGAATAGGAAGTAAAACCCAAACAAACAAACAAAAACAAAATCTTTGACTTGTGCAGTACTGTCTGATGTATCTTTACATGACAGTCTCGTGTGTTTTATCTTCATGTCTGCGTTAAGCCACGCATTAAACACGCTATCCATATTCTGATTAGTCCGAGTTGGTATGAGTTACAACAATAACTGTTAATATAGATACAAATATATTAGATATAATTAGTTTCCCAATTTACAAGTGCCTTCGTGTTGTATCACATTTTTCATTTTCAACATTTATAACATGCATGGCACATTAAGAACACCACAGAATGATATGAAATGACATCTTAATTTCATTATTCAGTCTAGGTAAAAAAAAAACATTCGCTTTTTAATCACGATTTGCTGATATGTATTATCGTGGAAGTTTCTGACTATGATTTTAGTGGTTTCGCATGGCCACATCTATATTTATTTGAAGTCAGTGTGTGTCTCTCCTCAGTTGTAAAAGAGAAATTAATCTCAGTATGATCGAGGTAAA